AGGGAAGGAAGGCTTGGTGGTCAAGTTGGACTAAGGAAAAGCATTAGGACCATGTCGATTGGTCAAATCTTGGAGGTAATCCAGAGTAGAATGGAATTCAGCTCAAGATGGAGAACTTGGAATATGGGTTTTGTCGCCAATTCAAGTCTCCATTCTTATCAACAGGTTGTCGGAAGGCTATTCTACGGCCATCAGAAGACTACACCAAGGAGACCCTCTCTCTCCATCTCTTTTGCGTGATAGGCGAGCTTTTCTCCAAATCCATCACCAGGCTCCAAAAAAATAAAAAGATCACCTACCTACCATATTCTGATGACATCATCACTTTCTACGAGGTGCGCCAAGTTCAATTGGATCACCTTTGGTTATTTCCTAGGTGTTTTGAGATCTCTATTGGGATGAAAGCCAATATGTGGAAAACCACAATATTAAGTAGCTTTGGTGATGAGGAAGCTAATGTTTTGGCACAACACTTGGGCTACCAGGACTGAATCCTCACCAACAAAATACTTAGGCTTGCCCTTATGTACAAGTAAGCCTAGGAAACACGTGAGATTCAGTCATCGAGAAGTTCAAATAAGAGGTTGGCAAACTGGAAAGGAAGGTTCCTTTCTTTAGGGGCAAGGATAACTTCAAAGCGCCTCCGGTAAATGTTTTAATCAACAATATGTCCTTATTCCATATGCATGCGGCTGCGGCTTCCAAGCTAGAGAGTCTTATATGGAACTTTCTCTAGTTGGACACCAACAATGAACACAAGTTCCACCCATTGCGTAAGACGAAATCTGCAGCCTCAAATGATCAGGAGGCCTTGGAATTAGATGGCTAAGTGAGAATCACCCGGCACTACTAGGAAAATGGTGTTGGAAATTTGTTGCAGATAACACCCATCCGGGGAAGGAGGTGATCCAAGAAAAGTATGCCACTGAAACTGGACATTGGGTCCCCCTATGTCCATCTCATAGGGCATTGGTGCACAGAAAAGCATTATAAGGAATTGCATATATTCATGGATTATATAAGATTCAAAGTAGGAAGAGGCAACCAGATTAGATTCTAGAAGGATCTATGGGAGGGACACCAAATCATGGGGGCTTGCTGGCCATTCCTCTTATCTATTGCAGCCGACAAGGAGACCACCATTGCAGAAATAGCTGACATCAGTGGTGGGTACCTCATTTGGAACCCGGCATTTAGGAAACCCTCTTGGAACCAAAAAAGGAACACCTGACAGCCCTCCTCAACTTGCTCCAAGGTTTCTATATTGAGCATGAGGGTTGTTATTGTCTAGTGTGGTTTCGACCTCCTTTTGGGACTCGTTACTACCTGCCAAGACGCCAGGCCCTTCAACAAAATTTGGGCAACACCGGTACCCCACAAGGTCCAAGTCTTTGATATGATCCCTTGCCTATGGGAAGCTTCTAACAAAGAGACCAACTTCAAAAGAGAGGGCTTCAAATGCACAACCAATTCGTCACGTGCCCACAAGGACAGGAAAACACTGACCACCTTTCCATACATTATGAGGCCAACGCCCACTTTGGTCAAACATTCTACAACTTTTTGGCTGCCAATGGGTCACCCCACAGTACAGTATTTTAAGCAGCTCCTTTCTTCTTTCATGTCCTCATGGTTGTGGGATGTGTGGAAAGAGAGAATGCTCGTATCTTTCACGGTCTAGGACAGCCCAAGCAGGTTCTACTTGACCACATTAAAGCCAAAATGATCTTTTGGGTCAAACACTTGCCACTTTCCAGCAACTTGGGCACCTCAACCTACCTCAACAATTGAGAAAACATTTTGTCCCTTGCCCAAGAATTCAGATCATTCGGGTTACCTGGCAGCCCCCATCATAAGGCTCTGTCAAGTTAAAAAAAAATTTAAGTAAAGTTAACTTTTGTATTGCTAAGAGAAGTTAGATTACAGATGTGTGGTAGTTTGAGAGAACCCTCTAGACGGGTCTCTCGGTAAATAATAGGTCAGCAGACCCTATACAAAAAATGGGCTTATATACCTGCCCGATTACAAAGGATTTACAGTAGGTTCACAAAAAATTGGGCTTATAGAATTGCCCGATTATTTTGATGGTTATTCCCTCAGAAACCTTGGGTCGTCAAGGTTTGGGAGAAACCTAACCAACCATTAAGGAGAAAGCTCTTGTCCTTCTCCAGTTTCATAGGTCAAATGGTCTCCACCATGGGTCAAAGAATGGACCTTTTGAAAGGATTAACAATTACCCAATGTTCAAAAAGGCGAACGCGGCCGCCCAGATACCTGAGTGGACCTTAAGAGAGGGGGGCAGGGAGGGGGCCCATATGTTGTGTGTGTGTGTGCACACGTGTGTGTGAACGAACTTGCATGAAACACTTAAAGGTCATCTTTTTTCTGTTTCCTTATATGTAGATTAAGAGAGAGAAAGCATATAGGTCCATGGTTGTGAGAACGAGGCCTTGAACAATTGGAGGAGGTTATTCTTTTCAATTTTTTTAATATTTTGAGATAGAGAAGAGAGAATGAATCTGTGAGAGAGAGATAGGGGCCTCGCATCAAACACTTGGAGGTCATCTTCTTCTTTTTCTTCTTCTTACATACAAAGAGAGAGCTTACAGGGCCATTTGTGTACAATGTTCAAGAAAATGGGGGCAGTCCCCCAGGATTTGTGGCCTGGGGCATAGAGCGGCCTTGTGTAGGAGCTTTTTTGTTTCTCTTTTGGGATGTGTGGGGTGGGGGGGGAAGGAAGCGCTTGTGGAGGGGAGAAAAGTGGGGGTGGTGTGGGGTTTTCAACTTTGGAAACTAATTACTTATAAACTAAAATCTACATGTTTAAAAATATAAAACTTTAAAATTGCACAAAATTTGACATCCATTGCCATTTAGCGAAAATACAAAGTCACATAGCATAAGTGTACATCCATAAGCATTTCAAACAATATTTCAGACTTCAAAGTTTAGAAATTCATCTTCAACACATTCCACTACCCAAAAAAACGTCAACACATTCCAGAGTTCCAAAATCCAAAGTTCCCAGACATAACATGACATTACAAAGAATTAAATGATCATGAACTCAAAAAGGGCTCGATTGGGTTTCAGCATCACTTCCAACAATGTCATCTCTTGTCTCTCCCACCAACACTCTCAAATGAGGATGATGATGATGCCATGCCATCATCATCAGAATCATCTCCCTTTGATACATATCGTTCTTCCTCATCGGTCTCTTCTAAGTCTTGTAACTCCAGCTACTATTCCTCCTCCCTCACTCTTTTAAGTTGTTTCTTCCCTTGGACTTGGACCCCTTTCTTTGAGATTCGGACACCTTTGTTTGAGAATAAGACGCCCCTCCTGTGAGATTGAGGCTGTGTGGTCTTCAAGGGGTTTGATTGGGTTCCCATAGCATGCCTCACTTGACTCCATGTCAAGTCCTCCCCACCTGGCTTGGAAGCTCTTCAAGGTAGTGGCATTGACAGAGATGCTTGCTTGAAAGTTCCACCTGGCCACGTACTGATCTTTTTCAATCCTTTTTTAGTTGGCTATCAATTGTTGTTTGGCCCTTTCCTCGAGCCGCAACAGCAGGATCAATGGGGGCAAAGTAAGAACCGTTAGGCCCTAAATTTTGTCGCCTACTACATACATGTGTTATGCAAGGCAACACAGGAGGCATTCAACCAAGTATTGAGGGAAGCCAACATCATTGCTGATCAATTGGCATAGGGAGGGGCGGCCAGTAGACCTATGAAGCCACATTCCAAAGATTGATAACCTCTCTCCTCCTATCTACGCCGTCACCTCTTCTTTCCTCTATCTTCTGTTTCTCCTCATCTAATTCTATCCCCTCTCGTTTCCCACCTCCTCTTTCCTCTATTTCCTCTTTTCCTACTTCATTCTCTCTTCCCCATATCCTCCTTCGATTTTGGAAAGGAGTCTACTGCTTGTAAGCTGCTTCTATTGATGTAAATCTGTATTACAGCTTTGGATCTTAGTATCCCATTTTATATACAGCTCCTGGGTTGTGCATAGCCATATCATGGATTTCCGTATGACCCCATTTTGTATAGAGGTCCCCAGTTGTGGATAGCCAGTTCAGGGACTTTCGTGCAATAGACTCTACACTACCTCTACAAAAAAAAAGGCAAAATGATGATGAATTAAAACTTTAAAAAAACAATCTTGTGGATTTTTTAAATGTTTTGACAACATAAGCACATCACTAAATACTCTCATAGAGTTGCAAGCTAACTCATGGAAAAACCACTCACATCCAACACCATGACAAAATACTCTCAAACAGTTGTGAGATAAACTCATGGAACTACCACACCATCCACTCATTTCAGTTGCATCATGAAATATCAATCACCAGATAACATCCTTAGGGGTAAAAAACCCTCAATACGTAAACATGGAGATCCAAACATAAGGTTTAAAAATTTGTCAAACAAGTTTCATCATGTAGATAGAGATGGAAACATCCATAAAGAATATGCCAAAAGATAGTCTACACCTGTAGGAGTAGAATGTTCATTTACTCCCTCGAGAAAATCCCCACCTAGAATTAATTTTAGTACCCCAAACTTTGGGGAGCCTTTTCATCCCATAGATTAATCTGAATAAAAAATAATCCTAATTGTACCCTCTTTGCACTTGAAAAAACTAATGAGCTTTAAGATTTAATAGAGACCATCCAATTTTTAGAAGGTTAGATCTGCGTGTTAGAAAACTCAATTTCAATTTTATTTTTATTTTTTTTCAGAATAAACATCCAGTAATTCTTAAGTTGTTCCCACAATTTCAGATTGAAAAACTCCTCCCAAGTAGGTCTTCGGACCAAGGTAGTAGAAGTCAACTATGCTTCCAAGGGCACATAGTATACATGCTCAAAGAATATTGCAAGCTAAACGTCAGAAAATATCAATTGCTTCATTTTTTTTTCTGTACTTGTTTTATTGATAAAGTTTCATGATCAATCACAAAAAGAATGGAGAATATTTAATGCAAACCTGTAGAAGACCCTGAGTAGTGCAAGGAGCATATGAAAGAGCATTGGTGATCCACTCGCGAACAACGCGCTGAAACAATGAACGAACCGTCGCAACCCAAGCAGGATCATTGACAAGAGCTGATGGTAAGTCATTATTGACTGAAAAAAGCAGTGAATCCAAGCATGATGAGTTCCACAAAACCTGCATAAAAGCACGGGGAACCCATAAGTAACATCCTACAATTTGGAGGCACATGACCAATATTGAAATTCAATAACCAGCCAAAGTAAATCAAAGACAAATGACAAACAGCCGCAATACCTGTGGAAACCTATCTTTCAACTGCAACAACAAGGTAACAGAAATGTCGCGAACGTGTTCCTCCCGCCGGGACATACTTTTTACAAGGAAGCATGCATGTGCAGTAAGAACAGACTCCCTAGTTTCAGCTTCATTGCCAGTTGATGAAACTCTTTCCTCCTGAAAATGAAATAAAAATTCATCCAAAGGCCTAACTTAAGTGGAATAACCCCATTACAGTCATTATGAACTCCTACAACACACTTTTTCAAAAGAATCAAGAAGGAGACATCAATTCAATGGAACACAAACAAAGTATGATCAAAAGCTAAAAAGCAGAAAAAAATTAAGGAGAGGGCTAATCATTCAAGGGAAAAAAAGGAACCATTCAACACCTAAAAAACCAACTCAACGAGAGGGGTATTTACATGCTGCTTCTTTCTCAAGATCCATGGAGAAAGCAACGAGGACCATATGATTATCTATAGGGATTCAATTTAATGATGACAGCAAGTTTCATAATCTGAAGAAATCCTTAGTAGCGCCTCACGATGTTTAGAAAAATAACCCACCTCAACACTTAAGCATCAGCTAGCAGCAGGCCAAGACCCTGACCCCACGCCTAGGCCAGGTACGGCATCTAAGGCAGGAGAGGAATCCCTTCTAAACATAAAGATTTGATAACTTTTTCCAAGGGTGAAAGTTTCAGATTTTATTATGAACACTTTAAAACTTGGAAAGGAAAGAAAGCAATTAATTGTGAAACTCAAAGATATTAAAAACGGTGTTTTCGCAACCAAAGGCTAGCTGATTCTAGCCAACTTTGATTAGGCTTCAAATGGTGAGTTTGTTTCAATTTTGGGTTTGTGTTAACAGTTTCCAGGACTGGTTTTTTTTTTTCCTTTTTTCTTTTTTTTCCTTCTCAAAGATTGTTATATGTTGTATTTTCAAGTTTGGGTTTGGGTTTCTTGCCCTTTTAAAAGATTGAGGTTTGGTTTGAGTTTGTTCACATTGTGATTAGGTTTTGTAATTTTTCTACTTTTGAATTTTAATTTTGCGCCTTTTTCTTTTTTATGGTTTTCCAACTAATGCTTTGGGTTTGTTGATGACTTTTTGCAAGATTTGATTTTGGCCTAGTGACATCTATTGCAACATTTGGGTTCAAATTTTTTATTTTTTCTATTCTCAAATTTCAATTTTGGACCGTTTCGTTTTGTACATATTTTATAGTATAGGGTTCGGTTTTTTCAATGACTTTTTATCAAGATTTGTTTTGGTTTAGTGACCTTTTCCTATAGTTATGGGAGCACTTTTCCTAAAGAATGGTCTCACTTCAATTACACATTTCTGGTTCACCAGAATTGATCCTCCTTGGGAGATCAATTATGTGGGAACCCAATCCTATTTAGCATGGGACCGCAGCCGATAATCATTAGACTTTTTTGTTGTCCTGAGAATTTATATATGAATGGACAAATTGTCAATTATAATGAACACTATAGTCACTCACTTAAGTAATGTGTGTTCCAATGTGTGTGTGTTTCTTTATATGCTCATTATATGCCTTATTGATAGGAGATTGGAGATAAATCTTAAGGTTTAATGAACACCATCAAAAGCATTTGGTCATTGAAGGAAAACTTTTAGTTCTATTTATTGTCATGTCCAACAATCTCAAATCTATTTCGCAACATGATCACTATGGAATTTTTGTGGTGCCAGTGAAACATAAATCATTTGTTTTTTAATCAATTACAATTTCATCATATTTTATAATGTACAAACACACACACGCGCACACACACATGCTCAAAGGGCACACCACATGCATTCCCAAGTATATCATCATCATCGTCAAAGCCATTTCCCAACTGATTGGGGTCGGCTACACAAATCCTAGTCTACTACTCTGCTCTATTAAAGGTCATACCCTCAATGAGGCCATAAGTCCCCATTGTTTTTTTCACTAAATCCAACCATATCCTTTTGGGCCTACCTCTTCCCCTTTTTGAGCCTTCCACTTAAAATAACTCGCACTTCCTAACAGGTGTACTGGGTCTATGCCACACATGGGCAGCCCACCTAAGTCTACTCTCTCTCATCTTATCGCCTATTGGTGCCACATCTAAATTTTTCAAAATGTATTCATTTCGAATTCTATCCCTTCTTGTCTTGCCACTCATCCATCTCAACATCCTCATCTCCGATACACTCATTCTATGGGTATATGATTTTTTATCATGCAATATTCTGCTCCATAGAGTAAAGTTAGTCTCACAACTGTCCTATAGAACTTGCCCTTGAGCTTCATTACTATGCGGTGATCACATAAAATTTTGATTGCCACTTCTCCCACCCAACTCTAACTCTATGTGTGACATCTTCCTCAAACTCTCTATTTTCTGAGATTATCGTCCAAGATATCGAAAGTGCACCTTTTTTGGTATTTTCTGGCCATCAATCTTGACTATTCCCTTGTCTCTACTTCTATCATTACTAAACTTGCATTGTATATATTATATCTTAGTCCGGCTAAATTTTAAAACCTTTAGATTCTAGAGCATCCCTCTAAAGTTCTAACTTTGGGTTGACGCCATTTCGTGTTTCTTCAATCAAAACTATGTCATCTACAAACAATATGCACCACGGTAGCTCATCTTGTAGGTGCCTAGTTAAGTCGTCCATAACTAAGACAACGAGGTGTAGGCTCGATGTTAAGCTCTGATGTAGATCTATTGTCACTAAAAACTGACGCACCTATCTACTAGTTCTTCGTACACCACCGTACATATCTCTGACCAAGTCGATGTAGTGTCTGGAAACTCCTTTTCTTCTTAACACCCACCAAATCAAATCTCAGAGGTACTCTATCATAAGCTTTCTCTAGATCAATAAAGACTATGTGCAGATATTTTTCCTTCGCCCTAAACTTCTCAATCAGTTGCTTAAGTAGGAAAATAGCCTCGGTTGTTGACCTCCCTGGCATAAAACAAATTTGGTTTTTCGATACACTCGTTTCATGCCTTAGTCGTTGCTCAATCACTCTCTCCCCCAGCGTCACGGTGTGGCTCATAAGTTTGATCCCTCAATAGTCTGCACAATTCTCTAAGTCGCCTTTGTTCTTGTAAATAGATACCACAGTATTTTTTCTCCATTCGTCGGCCATTTTCTTGTTCTCAACACCTTATTGAACCGCTTGGTCAACCAGTCAATGCCAATGTCCCTCATGCACTTCCAAACCTCTATCAAGTTACCATCTGGTCATAAAGCCTTTCCTGTCTTCATCCTTCTCAAGCCTTCTTTCACTTCCGATATCCTAATCCTATGAATGTATCTATGACTGCCCTCATTTTTGTTAATTTGAAGACATCTTTTTCACCTTTTCTTGTTCCCAATTTACTATATAAATTATCATATGCCTTAAGTTTAGCCATATTATTTATTTAGCGTTTTTCTTAGCATTTTTGTAGTCCTCTAAATTTTGATCATTTCTATTACACTACCAAAATTATAACATGATCATTTTTTGCTAATGGCTTTTTGAACCTCATCACTCCACCCCCATGTTTCCTTATCAAAATTTCTTTTCCATCAGGATTCTCCTAAAACTTCTTTTGTCACTTTTTTAATACAGTCAGCCGTCTCATTCCACATAAGATTGACCTCATGTTAGAAGTTCCATGTTCCTTCTTTAACTAATTTATCCCCAAATAAGTTTATTTTCTCACTTTTAAATTCCACCATCTAGCTCTTTGACACTTAATAATTTCACCACTTCTCTTCCATATCTTTCTGCAAACGTCCATAACCACGAGCCTATGTTGGGTAGTCAAACTCTTCTGAGATAACCATGCAGTTTTTACATGATGGTTGATCTACCTTCTTAAATAGGGAGAAGTCTATCTGGCTTTTATGTCATCCACTTTTATAGGTTATTAAATATTCATCATACTTTTTAAAGTAAGCATTTGCTACTGCTAGGTCGTAGGCCATACCAAAATCTAGAATACCCTCCCCCATCTCATTTCTTTCACCAAACCCATGTACCCCTTCAGGTCCTCTATTGTCCTTCCCTACATGAGCATTTAAGTCCCCTCCGAAAAAGGCCATCTCTCCATGTCCTTCCCTACATGACCATTTAAGTCCCCTTTGAAAAAGGCCATCTCTCCATATCCTTCCAAAATTCTCTTAATTCTATCCTCTAATCCTACTTGTGGTGCATAAGCACTAATTACGTTAATTATCTCATCCCCTAATATAAATTTAATAAATAGGAGCCTGTCACATATTCTCTTGACATTATCTATTTTATCTTTTAAATATTTCTCTACTATTATGTCTACACCATTTCCATTGTTATCCTTTTTTGTATACCCACCATCTATTTCTTTAGCTTTTTCTCCTTTCCATTTAGTCTCTTGTAGACAGACTATGTTTACTCTCCTTCGTCTCATTGTATCCACTAACTTCATACCCTTACTTGTAAGCGTTCTTATATTCTATGTGGCTAGACAAAACCTATGCTCTTCACCCAGCTTCGTTACCCTCGCTCATCCAGAATGTCGCGGGAACCCTTGCCTATTTTCATCGCAACCTGGAAAGATGCAATGCGTCACTTCTGGGGAATGCTCTAGCTAACCCTTGCTCATTTCTCAATGTACCCAGGTTCCAGTACAGCACGTCACTTCAGGGGAACACCCTAACATAAGTAGATTCTACAAGTTCACGATGCATGATGTTTTGGTAAAGTTTTATGTTAGCTGCCTACCTACCACAACCCAGCTCCTTCACCCATGCATGGGATGCCTTAAGGGAAAGTTTCAAGGTCCTCACCCTTGTTAGACCAATTCCCAAGTATATATACAATCTACATAATACATAATAAATATATTCTAGCGCAATCCAAATCAAGCAATCCCATGCGCTCTCGAGGTAGAGAACTTTAGGCATGGGACAATCCCCACTCCCACTCCCACTCCCAGCAACTATATTTTCACCACTAATTTGGTTCCCATACTTCTTTTTTCTAGTTTCAATTCTTTTATTTTTGCCCTTCTGGATTTGCAAATTTTCTAGTTTCGATTCGTATTTCTTTATGACTTTCCTACAAACTTTGTTTTAGCTTGGTGTCTTTTCCAATAGTTAAATTTTTTTTTGTTTCAACTTACTTTCTTTTTTCT